AGTGATCTCTTGCCGGCACCAAATCTGTTCTGATCAAGAAGTGCTAGTGATCTCTTGCCACCAAATCTGTTCTGATCAAGAAGTGCCAGTGATCTCTTCCCGACTTTCTTTTGCCTATCCGCTCGGACCGTATCCTGTCGGCAAAAGAATTAGAATAAGAACAATAAGCTTGAGTATGTAAAACCACTATCTAACGCCCATTAACCAACGCTCTTTAGTCAAAGGCTGCCGGATGGCAGGTGCCGGTCGAGATATCTCTCGTCTTATATATTGATGGTATGCATCATCCAACTATAGGTTTGAAGCTGCGTAAATATAGATCTTACATTTACATTACATCTTTAATGGCTGTACGTGGTAGTGGACTGGCTTTAATTCATGATCACCTTCGTGGCCTCGGGAGCGAATCCAGGACTAGATTCGGTGGCACAGCCCGCAATGCATAAAATTTGTTAGGTCAACCTAAGGTCACTCGATCGGGGAGAGTTTTTAGGCTCTTGGTTCTCTCGTAATCCTCACCGCCACAAAGCTCAATACTCTACTGATTCCACTTCGATCTGTGAGCTAGTTAGACTTAAATCAGCCACTATAGGTTGCAATTGTTTCAGGTCCGAGTAATAAAACTCATTATTATAACTTTGGAATTGCTTACCTCGCCATCAAGGATGTTGCGTTTGTCTTGCGCCTCATCCAAGCGATATCTGGCACTTATACCATCTTTTTCTGTAGATAATGGATTACCTTCACTGCCATATGCCATCAACAGCAACACCACGGTAAGACATGTCTGCAATATTTTGGAACTCATGGTCTTATTATATCGACTCTTGGCACCGTAGCAATGACAGCAGCAGCGAGTTTAGGGGATACAATCTTGTTAAACGTCTGTGGGAAGGATTTCTTGCAAGTAGCACAGACAGTGTGTAAAGACTAAGATAGTAAAAGTAATAGTGCTGTACATGGATTGCTATGGAGACATTTATAGTAACTTTTGTATAAATAATTCAAAATTTAGTACTTCATGTACGACCATCATTGTTGTTTCGAGTGAATGTAAGTGTTAATGGTATTCCTCATGTCACAATTAAGGATTTTATAGGCATAAAAGATTCAATTCATTAGTAACTTTAATATTGTTTTTACAAGCTAATTTGCGTCTTTGTACGTAGTTATTATTGCATTCTTACATTATCGTGTGAATGAGTTGAAAAGATCTATTAAAAGCAAGTTAACGGATCAGCGCTTTTCAATCAATGGCGGAAGCAAATTTGATATAGCCTCAATGCCTTAATTATGGATTCGTTTTTCTATCCAGTACACATTATTGTTTAAGGTAAATAGACTCATAAGCACCAGGTTGAACTCGCTAAACTTGGAACTCATTGCTAAATACAACTCACTGGAAAGAGAAAAAAAAGTCTAAAGAACGCAAAGCATGAGGCAGTCCCGGCTAGCGGGGAAAACTCCAAGAGGGATTTCGAGAAATTATAACCCGTAAAACAAACTCATTACACTAATATTTATTTGACTAGTTAAATGGATTTTTACTTTAAATATAATTCTTGGGTGCCAACAACATTTGTTTGAGGGAAGCACAATTTATTACATACATCTTATACTCATTAATTATTCAGAAGCTCATCGACCAACCAGGGTTTCTTATCTGTACCACGTGCAGTAGTTTGAAACCTCCATCAAATACGACCGCACCCATTTCAAAGTWCTAGWACTTTGAAATAAAAACAAACATAACAAAAAGAGTATAAGATGTCATGTCAAATACTCGTCACTTTATTCTATTGGGGTTTCAAAATCCTCGTGGAATTCCACTTGGATTTTGAAACCCCAATAGAATACAGCAACCCGTATTTGAAACATTACGTCTTATAATAATGATTTAGCTCATACCATATATCTGTAAAACCCTTTGTAAGAAGTTGCACATTTTTTCATAAATTAATAAGTTCAGTAGACCTCAGTATGCCGTAGACCTACAAAACTTTGCACTAATTTGCACAGTTTTATTAGAGTGCAAACAATTAATCCGTGAAACACTAAATAGTAAAAAATAAGGCTAATTAAACAATAGAAAACAATGGAATTTGCATGAAATTGTGCTATTTAGTATTACTAAAGTTTCATCATTATATTTTTTGCACTAAGGTAACTTTTTCACAGATATATGGTATGCACTCTATTCTAGCTTGACATTAGCATAAAGCAAGAAAACTAATTACATTAATGTCAGGAAGAAATTACTAATTATCCTCTTTTGATATCTATTACACTGAGATGTACTACAGGGATTAAATTAGAGTGGTTTCATAAACCTATGAAATACACACTAGCCTAATACAAATTAGTGGACCCTAATTCGATTGTGTTCTTTTGTTCTCATATCACTATTACACACTAACTAACGTTGAGGCGATGTAATGACACCATATCAACAGCAATGAGCTATGTTTGAACTATTAATATTTTCCTTTTCCTAACAGTCTCCCAAATGAATATAATTCTTTATGAATTCTCTTTTTTTGTATATGTTGTTTGTTTCTGTTTATCAAACTTACAACTGCACAATGTTCTAGCTGAGTTATTCATTTTTATTGACAGAAGCCTAAAACTCAGGCATCTAGAAATTATGCAAGTCACAGATATACAAAAACTGCTCAAAATAAAATAAATAATTACTCTGGTTTTTGAATGCAACCTAAAGCTATGTTCAACTCCTTTTCTACCAAACTTCTAAAATGGTTTTCTATTCTTTTCATTTCACTGTATGAATTGCTTTCATTTGATTTCGTTTTCTTGGAAACTTCATTTTTAGTTTTACTAAGTATCTTTTCAGTGTTTCTACAGCAACCGTCTCCAGAACAAGTGCTTGCATCATCTGCAGAAAGTTGAGTTCCAGAATCTTTTCTGCAACTGTTGTCAGACTGACAGCAAATTTCTTTTTTCTCTGATAAACAAGCTTTTGTATCATCCACTACAGAAGAACTAGATACATTTTCTACAAAGTTTCTATGGTTTCCACTTTCTAATTTTGTTCCTTGATCATCTTGATGTCTTGAAATGTTTTCAAATTCAACCAAAGCTTGTTGTTCAAGAGCTTTTACTTCTGCTTTTAGTTTTATTATTTCTTTCATTAATCCAGTATAATCTTGATTCTTATTTGAATATTTTGACTGTAGGAAAGACAAAACAGCACTGAAAGGAAGAAAGGAAAAGTTTTTGTAGCTGTTTTAAGGCCCCGTTATGAGGTGCAATGATTTTAGTCTGAAACCTGTCTGAAACCTGTCTAGCAATAGACCTTTTTCATACAGCAGCAATGTTTATTCCCACGAGCAAAGCCTTTGTTTCTGGCTGCTCAAACTTATTCTGAAGTGCTTGAATGCAAGGCTAGCTAGGCAAAAATCTACTGTTCCACCCAAACGTGGCTGCCACATTGCAAAGGTCTATGCTATTGTTGCACAAAGGATGATACATAGTGCAATGGTGCAAAACGTTGAAGGAATGGTTCCACAAAGTAGAACTGAGTTTTACTTTAATTTGTGCAACAATTACAGCAACTTTTCTTTCACTGATTTTGAGCATTGCAAGATATGCTACATTACTGAAATTGGTTACGTGACTCATTTGACGATGGCATTGCCATGTATACCTTATTGATCCTGATAGCTTTGAAAACTCTGATGAAAATGTACGACTTTTAGCAAAACCTTCATTGAATCCTTGCTGAAGTGTTGACTCTTCACCAGCTTGAAGCCCTTCAATATATCCAGCCTTAAAAAGAAAAGAACACACAAGCAAAAGCTTTTAGAATTAAACAATGCAACTTGTGAACAAGGTATCCAGGTTTTTAATACTTTTCTTTATTACTTAGCCAATTCCCCATGTAATTGTAAATTTTGATTAAAGTTCTTTAAAGTTTGTTAAAATAAATTTTAACCCAATCTTCGTTGCTGTACTACGAAAACTGGTGACAAGTATGCCTTGATTACATGCTCCAGTGATTTCCCGTTTACCGCCTATTTTAATTTCATAACCGCCTACCAAAAATTTTATTGACAACCCTGAGAGGGTGTGATGAAAGGTATATTATCATACTAGAAAGACATGTGGGATTCCTGTTCGTTCCCTTGAGAATAAAGGCCCTTCATCATTGTTCTACACCTACAACCCAGAATTAATTCCCAGACTTGGTGTTTACCGGAGGTTAGGGGTTTTCTTTAGGTTCTCCAGTTTTTACCCTACCAGAACTTTGCTAAATCCACTTTATTTTTTCTATTTTCCTTGTGGAATTCACCTTTTCAGCGCTAGCCATCATGGGGTATAAATTATTTTAGATTGTGTTACGGTCACCAAAAAGTTTGGACATTGTTCTCGAATTTCCGTACAAATGTACTGACTCTAAATGAACTATTTACTTGGTTAATGTTTAGTTAGTTCTCTAAATACAAGTAAATGAGCATTTTTCTAGCACAATCCAAGCTAGAGCTGAAAAGGTGAATTACCTGGACTTTTCATAGGGAAGTTATACTAGCATTTACATATTAGCCAGGTTTTGTAGGGATCAATATGAAAACTATAAAGGTAAGGGTATGTCAAAATGTACAAAAGTGATCACCCATTTCTCATCCTAAACCAAAATTCATTTTGCTTGTTAGTTTTTACCACACACCCCAAACCCCAAAACCTCAGGTACGTAAGAGTTAGTGCTTCATGTAAGACTAAATGAAATGGCACTATTGGATTATTAATCATTATAACGTCCTGAAACCCTTATCCAAACTCTAACCCTAACTCCAACCCAAACCCCCAAGAACCTAACCTTAAACTTTATTACCAAATAGTGCCATTTCATGTGGTATAGTCTTACATGAAGTAGTAAGGCAGGAAGAAAGGTCAGCCTTGCTATATGAACTTCGTGTTTTTTGAACTGTTATCACCCACTGCCTACTGATTACACTCTACCGGAAAATCCTCCTCTACTAGGACATCAACTATAAATACACACCATCAACTATAAATACACACCAAATCCAATTTGACTCAATATGGGTGTTAAAATGTTTAATGCACCATAGGGGCCGCTATGTTGGTTGACGATAGCAAAGCATTCCTCATTAGCTTCTCTTATTAAATCAACCAACATGGTGGTCTCAGGGGATTTTAAGTCATGTGATTACACTCAAGCAATCATAGGAACATCGTCGAAGGGGGTAGGGGTTGGAAAAGAAATCCTTACATTATAATTTATGGATTATAAATAATACACTTCATCTTCTCAAGTGCAAAGGAATTCAAATTTCAAACTATAACCTTAATAACCTTATGATAGTCAAATAGTACACTCTATTCGAACCTTGAAATGATTGTCTTGAAGCCGTCTGTAGTCTATCTCGTAATCGTCTTCATTCTCGAATTCGTCCGCCATCTTGGATTAGTTTGCTCATGCGTACTACGTCAAAACACAAATGCTTTGCGATTCAAAATGGCGCCCACTTATAGATAGTCAAGTTATGGAGCGAATCCGTTTCCATCCTTCTCTGTTTTCACTGAATTGAGATTATTATAAAATATGTTCTATGAAGAACAATTCGTCTGTTGTTTTTAAGCGATTTCAAAGAATTTCCGCCATGTGAATGAACGTTATTAGCGCATTATTTCTCACGAGATGCCGAGTTCTCGACATGAAAAAACTGGCAAAACTAGTAGCCCCAATGCACGAAACCACAGCAAAACTAAAAAGTCCTCACATAAGCAAAAGAAGCTCAAAAAGCAATTGAAACAAGCCAGCCCTGATGTAAAACTTAAGGGCCAATATGAGGATATTTCGTCCGCGTCTGAACATGAAGGGCAAGAATTCGAGCAAAAATTTAGCTCCATATCACCACCTTCACCAGCAGTGGTGAAAAAAGTTAAATCTAGTGAAAAGAAAAAGAAGTCAAAAAAGGATAATGACGTGAAAAAGAAACGTAAAAAGCGATCCAAGGCATCTCAGTCCGAGGCAAAAAATGTCAGGCAGCAATCGCTGTCACCAGTATCCAAGTCAAGATGGAAGGACAGCCCTTCTCCACCTCCGCCAAAAGAGCCTTACCAACGCATCTCTCCTCCGTCTCCTGCGCCACAGCCGTTTCCTAGACTAAGAAGAGAAGAATCAAAGACTCCACCTCCTCTTCCAAGAGCTTTTAGAAAGCGTTCTCCAAGTTTGAGTCCTTACAGATCTCCTCAGTTCAAAACAAGATCTCCACTTCACTCTAGGTCACCATTACGTACCTGGTCGAGATCACCATATGAGCACAAATCAAGATCACCTTTACATTCTCCATTTAGGCAAAGATCACCAATGTACAGATCACCAGAGAGATCACCTATAGTGTCACCTCCAAGATATTCACCTTACAGGAATAAAAGGAAACATTCATTCTCACCTATGAATAGAGCATCTATGCCTTCTCCTCATAGAATGTCACGTCAAAGGAGTAGATCACCATCACCTTATTGGAACGCTAGGAATAGGAGTATATCTCCACAACCTTACCAGAAAAATCGCAGATCAGTCTCACCTTACTGGACGTCGAAACACAAAAGTAGATCCCCTTCACCATATAGGACCAACAGGGGTCGTTCACCTTCCAGATCTTCAAGACCTTGGAACTCTCCTTATAATTCAACTATGAGGAAACCAAGCAAAAATTCTGGACAAAAATCTAGCTATTCCTCTAAGGATAACTATGATAAAATGGAGCGAAGAACTTCTGAGTTTAGAACTGAATCAAAGATTTCTAGATCTAAGCATAATAGTTCAGGGAAGGATTTCAGTGATGGAAAAGGAAAAGATTATTATCATTCTAGTAGTGACAGGATAGGGAAAAGCAATTCAAAAACTATCAGGGAATCTTTGCCGTCTTCTACTGATCGGACTCCAAAGACGAAAGTAGAACCAGTAAAAGCAACCGGATCAGTCATAAAAGAGCAAAAGCCAAAAACACCAGATTCTAAGGTTCAGGAATCTGATAGAAAGAGAGCAAGTAGTATATCAAAGAGTGTTCCCCCACCTCCACCTTCCAGCAGTTCAACACCACCACCATTACCAGCTGATGAACCACCCCCTCTGCCACCAGATGAAGAGAAGCCACCCCCACCTCCTGCACCAGCTTTGCCTCCTCTTCCACTTCCACCTGAACTACCTGGATCCCCTAGTGATTCTCCAATGGTTTTCTCTCCTTCTCCTGGTTCCACCAACAACCAGTTACACCCTCCTCTGCCACCTTTAAAAAATTTAGATGGAATTTCAAGAAGAGCATCAATGTCCAGTAGTCTGAGTGGTACCCCTATGTCTACCCCTGACACCACACCCAAGACCCCTGCTGATCCAGAATGGGGAGAAAGATGTGTTGACATGTTTCAAATTATTGAGCAAATCGGAGAAGGAACATATGGACAGGTTTATAAAGCTAAAGATAAAATTACTGGTAAGTTTTTCTTTACTTTTTATTTTGAAACTATATATCTGCATGTACAAGATGCATGCTTAGTTTAACTAATGCTGAACTACTGCGATTTTCACAAGCTTGCAAACTCTGTTTCTCTGAGCTGCATGCTGATGTTGCTGCTGTCATTGAAACCTAATCAATCAGTACCTTTCATATTTTTGACTGGCAGCAGCAAAACACAAATTTCAGTGTGCAACTTGGAGACACAGAGGTCACATGTTTATAAAAAATTGCATTAAGTTTCTATGTTTAAATGTAATCAGGCTTCATGGTGAAACTTGGCATGAATATACATAAAAAACAAATATTGTACCAACCAGTGGACTAGATCAACTTTTAACTCTTTTGTGTATTTTTTAAGGTACATTTGTGTACATCCATTTCATTTAAACTTCTTTAATGAACAAGAATGTGTTTTTGTTTTTCTTATTTTTATGTGATTAAATTATCAATAGAGGTAGACAAGGGAGTCTTTTTGGGCTGATTTCCTTGTTTTGCCATAGACGAAAAAAGTACAGTACTTGATGCTAATCAGCAGGGCCATAGCCACCAGTACAGTTGGTCTGGTTTTAACAGCACTACTTTTTGCCTTGAAGAACCATTTTCCCCCCTTCTAAAGAATATAACACACAAATTGCAATATTTTAATATAACATTTCAGTAATTTACCTCTAAAATCTTAGAGTAAAAAAAGTTGTTGAAAGTCTTTTTGATATGTAAATATAATACTTTATAAGTATGAAAAAAGTATTACGTTATTAATTATGATTATTTTTCTTGTTGATAATAACAGGAGAATTAGTTGGTATGAAGAAGGTCAGAACAGACAATGAAAAGGAAGGTTTTCCTATCACAGCTGTAAGGGAAATCAAGATTCTACGACAGTTAAACCACCCAAACATTATTAACTTAAAGGAAATAGTCACAGATAAGCCTAACGCCATGGACTTTAGAAAAGACAAAGGTATGTGATAACTTCTTTTTTGGAATCTCTTAGCTCATGATTTCATTGTACAATGTTCAGTGTATATCAATTCAACTAATACAAGAAAATGCATAAAGTGTCAATCAGGCCAGACCAGCAGTTATTAGATTTATGTGGGTGATATTTGCTGCAATTTGCACTGAGATTCATCTGTGACAAAAAATACAGGGTTTTAAATAGAAGCCGGCAACCGGCAGATTCCGCCGTCTACTCTTGTTAATTCGGCCCCCTACTCAGGCACTTCCCAATGTTATTGTAAATCTTGATTAAAGTTCTTTTAACTAGCAAAATGTGTGAATAAAATAAATTTTAACCCAATCTTTGTTGCTGTACTACAAAAACTGCAATGCAATTGAAACTACAACGATCGCTGTCCGCCATCTTGAATTTTCATGAGAAGAGTGAGACTGGTGACAAGTATGCCTTCAATTACATGGTCAAGTGAATTCCGGTTTACCGCCTATTGGGAAACACTGGTGGTGTGCGCTGCTAATGCGCCGCCTCTCACCAATGCGGCCCGAGTTCGAGTTCTGCCGATCTCGATGTCGTATGTGAGTAGAGTTGTTTGTTGGTTCTCTCCTGTGCTTCAAGGGTTTTTCTCCAGGTTCTCCGGTTTTCCTCCCTCCTCAAAAATCAACTTCTAAATTCTAATTCGATCTTTGGGCTTTCACTTAGTTTGGAGCCTAGCTCTGTTGTGATTGTCCCACGCTGTGATATGACAGAGAAAAGCTTTGTAGATTTTTTTAAAATTTCAATTTCATAACTGCCTACCAAAAATTTTATTGACAACCCTGAAAATAAAATTTCAATTGAAACAAATGTTAGAATGTATCAGTCCGTATGCTAATTATTAGCCTAATTATTAGCTATGATTCACCTTAAATTTGCTGTAATTTTGGATCAAATTTGCCAATCAAATTGCTGATAAGTGCATATATAGGCAGGGGGAGCCTAGAGGACCAGGGGCCCCTTTTCCGTCATGGCAACAAAATGGTGGCTTTTTGGAATTCATACAGTTATTTTCAAATTTGTAAACATAAAACTGTAATGCTTTTTATTTATGTAATTTTAATTATTTATTTTCGTTCAGCATTTTGGGTGCTCAATCAATGGCAGATTTTTGAATTTAGGTTCCCCCTTCGGAAAATCCTGGCTAAACCTCCTGCCGGGAGTTGTAGATAGTATGCACATCATGCACTTAAGACAAATCAATATTTTCATCTTCTGCCGCTTTTGCTGTACATAGCATTTATTATGTAAGCCCTGAAATTTCTGCAAGGCAAAAAAAGGTGTTTAACATTAATTTTCATTTACTTTTAGGGGCTTTCTATCTGGTATTTGAATACATGGACCATGATCTAATGGGGCTATTAGAGTCAGGCCTAGTACACCTCACTGAGGATCATATCAAGTCTTTTATTCGTCAGCTGTTGGATGGTTTAAACTACTGTCATAAAAAGAACTTCCTTCATAGAGATATCAAGTGTTCCAATATCCTTCTAAATAACGAGTAAGAACTTGACACATTCAAATGATCAATAGATGTGTGGATTGATTGATTGGCTGGTTGGTGGGTGGGTGGGTAGGTGTGTTGGTTGGTGGGTGGGCTGGTTGGTTGATTGATGGGTTGTTAATTGATTGACTGACCATTTTTTATGGGTGGGTTGGTTGGTTGGTTGGTGGGTTGTTAGTTGGTTGATTGACAGGTTGATTGTTTGACTGACCATCATTTTTTATGGGTGGGTGGGTGGGTTGGTTGGTGGGGGGGTGGATTGGTTGGTTGATTGATTGACAGGTTGTTGATTGGTTGACTGACCATCATTTTTTATGGGTGGGTGGGTTGGTTGGTTGATTGATGTGTTGTTAATTGATTGACTGACCATCATTTTTTATGGGTGGGTGGGTGGTTGGTGG